AGGATCAAGACGGGTTCTTCTAGCAGAAACATGAGTATTCGCATCAGAAAACAAGCGCTCTGATGGAACTGATGTGGCAGGAATAGATAAATATTTACGGGCAAGTTGATTAAGGTATGGAAAACTTACACGTCTTTCTTCCCACTACATTAAAGGATTTTGATGTTTATTAGCCATTAGTTCTTTCATATACCGTGTAAATTCATCTTCATCAGTATCATTATCAGGTATTGACAATGATCCCATAATTCGGCACTTAGAGAATCTTGAGGGTCTTCATTAATAATTACCGGGCTTCTTACTGCTTCAACATTACTTGAAGCATTTATTTGTGTTTTAAGCAATGATAATTCATTACAGACTTGCATTTTAGTTTCTTCCTGCTCTTGAATTGTGGCAAATGGAAGTAATTTAAATCGGGGGTCTAAAATAGAAGCTTTTAAACCCATTATATTAGATGTATTCCATAGCTCATCAAGCGTTAAAAAAATAACAGCTCGTGCTTTTTCTAAAAGCCCAGAGCAATCTACAGGTAATAAGTATTCTACAGTATTAGAATCTTCCAGGTCTGTGGGCAGTTTTCTTTTTTAATTTTACGTTTTTTATAACGCATGCGATTTTTATTATGATTTGCACTTCTATGTGCATATTGCCATTGTCGACGATTTCCTGCTGATAGTATATCAGCTTCATTGTTGCTACTAAGACTTGAATTATTGCTAGTATCTTGGTCTTCTGAGCCATAGATTAGATCAATCCAAGCTTCAAAAGATTCACAATCTTCACTTTTAGGAGTGAATTTTTTTTTTAAAGTTTGAACATAGGGATATACGATATTTAAAGTGGGATACTTTGATCCGCAAACATGTTTTGTAATTTCTTCAAATGGTTTTAAAAGATCAACCATTTGCTCTGTAACTCTTTTTTTTAAAAAAATAAAAAATAAATTTATAGTAAAAATTAATTTGTGTTAACCAATTAAAATATACATTACATATCACATGTTGCATAAAAGATTTAACTATTTAAATGAGTGATGGTTATGTTGTGAAAACCTTCTTTTAAATACCTTTATTCAAAAAAGTGTAGGTTTCACTAGCCATTACTCAAATAGTACTAATACATACTCTTGTTCTTCTGCAGTTAAACACAATTTTAGTAGCTTTTCACCTTCTCGTTTAAAAGCAGTGTCTGATTTATTTCATAATGTAGTTGCAAGTGTAAGCATAGCCGGGTGTAATGATAAAATTTTTTTCCACACCAAGTAAGTTGAATTCCAATGGGTCTTACAATCAGTTAGAACTTCGAGTAGATTTACTACTTCATCTTCAGTATCACTTTGAACCACATCAGATGAGTCTACTTGTATTTGTATTTGCTTTTGTGTATCACGCAAACGTTGTGCCTGTTTTGGAAGTTTAAAGAATGTTTGAAGGCTTCGAAGTCGTTTATAAATTGGTTTGACTTGTTTTAACTCCTCTCTTACTAAAAGCTTAAGAGTATGGGCAACACATGACTGCCAATTAATATTGGGAAGGTGATTTTCTTTTAACAAACTAATACCTTTTACCATATTTGCCCTATTATCTGTTACAATTGTATGTACTTTATTTACTAATCTCCATTTATCTATAACACTAAATAATTCATCATTAATATTTTAACCTGTATGTGGATACGGCATGTGGTGATTTGAGAGCAATGCTTCTTGAAGCCTAAAATCCGAAGTTAACCATGTTACAGTAATGCCAAGGTAACTATAATTACTTTTCGCAGTCCATAAGTCTGTTGTTAGATTAACTGTATTAATGTTTAATAATAACTCCTCAAGTTGTTTTCTTCCCACATATAGGCTTCAGAGATATATTTTTTAACGGTCTTTGCACACAGTATTTGATATTGTGGTTTAAAGCCAGTTAGAAGTTTGCGAAATGCAAGATTTTTTAATATGTTTAAGGGTTGAACATCATATACAATGAACTCAACTACAAGCTTTGTTAATTCTCACTGTTGTGTGGGTGAAAAGGCAGGTAGGTCAAGATCTATTGAATCAACAGATCAGGCTATTGGCTTTAAAAAATAAAAAAAATTAAAAAATTAAACACCTTAGTTAAAATTTACAATTCTATTATAACAATAATAATTTTTACTTCTTCATTATCATCAAGATATTTTTTATAATTCTTTGAAGTTATGTGATGCTTTTCACATAGATATTTTACTAGGTTTCCTATACTGCTTTCTGATTTAACATATGGATACGGTTGTGCATCAAATTCATCCAATTCATCTAATTTCTGAATGCAAATCTTACAATATGTAACTGCATTATCAATTTTATCATCTTTATAAAAAACCATGTAAAAGTAGCATTTGCTCTTGGGTTTGGGTTTGATAAGTTACTAGTGCTAGAAGCAACAGATGAAATTGATTGGGCTTTTGTTTTTTTAGAGATTCTTTTTTTATTATTTTTATTGAGAGTACTTATTTTTTAAAGCAAAGCTCTTTAATAAACTTTGAAAAATTTTTAGTGTGGCTTTAAAACAGAAAATTTCAAGAAACTTTAATAAATTGAAAACAGATAAATGTTGATTATTTATAAAAAAATTTTTATTAAATAAGAAAGAATATACATTTTTTTCAAATAAATTATTTAAAGATCCGTTAATATATAGTCATCTCTATGCTAATCGTATCTTATTGACAAAAAATTCAATATACAGTCATACTCCTCTTAGTATGACTGACTTCTAAATGCAATTTTTGGTTAGTTTCTTCTTATGATCCCTTCTAGGAGGTCTGATTCCAATAATTATCTACACCTCTCTTAGATGTGTGTTTTAGTTATGGCTACCTTGATACCACACTTAGGAGGTTTATCTATACTAATGACAAGAAAATTATACTCCTCTTACAATGCGCGTTTTGCTATTTTTTTTGAAAACTATTCATTTGACAAGTCATACTCTTCTTAAATATATATTTGATTATCCTTTCTTTGGCCCCTCGGCATCATATTTGAGAGGTCTTATTATACCAATTATTAAAAATAACATCATACTCCTCAAGTGCAAACTCTATAATAAACTCGTAAGTTTTCACTTGGCAGAACTCTTAATGGTTTGACTCTATGTCCCTAAGTACTTTTTAGCCCTTTTCTTAATGCTTCTCATGTCCTTCACGGAGGCCTGGCTGTAACTCTGTTAAATAGAACACATCAACATATTAGCATAAATCAATAATCAGTAAATTTAGAAATAACTGATAAATTTAGAAAATTCTATTGAATATAAATAAAAGAACCGCATTGCTTCAATAAAATCACATTTAAGCGAAGAATTGTATCAGAATATATGATTATCTAAAAGTGAATTAGGAACATAAAAAACATTACTAAAATTAACACAATATGCATTAAAAGGGCATACACTTCGGAAATGAGCGAGAACATTCTAACTTTTGTAAAAGGTAAGTAAAAATACTTATTCTAAATCCCAATCACTTCAAAATTACAAGCGAATCCAGAAGCAATCCTAGAATGTTTAGAAAGTTCCATAGTGTTACTTGGAAATATCAGTGTGACTAAACGGAAACCAGAGGATTAGTTTTCTGGCTACTAAAGAGTACAAATAAACAGTAATATGTTCATAATCAACACTTCTTGTTTATGTTCAACTTTCCTTCGTTGCTTTCAAAGATATATAAATCCGGATCTTATTATTGGATCCGGATCTTATCTTAGGATCCGGACCTTATTATTAGGATCCGGATCCTGTGATTAGGATCCGGATCTTATGATTAAGATCCGGATCTTATGATTCGGATCCGGATCCAGGTATTAACTCTACATATGACAATAACATACAGATATAAAACGGAAGAGCGGCAGGACAGCAGACAGCAGCCCCTTCAAGAGGCAAATCAATTTCACACCTTGCCCTACTCTCCCTTAATAGAATCCTGCCACTTTGTGGCAGCTTAAACATCTCTTTACAGCCAGCCTGCGTTATTCAGGCGGGAAACCGCCGGCTAAGATTATGTGACTACAAAGCTTCTGGTTAACAGTCGTTCTGCATTTATGCCGGTGTGAAACCAACAACTAATTCCAATTATACATCAAACGCACGGATATATACTATATATCTTTTTCAATTATACATCAAATGTACTGATGTATGATGTATGCTGTAACTCTCTAATAAAATTTGAATATTAGTGCTGGAATGCATTATAACTATATGCAAATTCATAATATCAAATGCATTGATTCTGTCCTCTGCTTAGATCTTCCGTTCCTGGTTTTGCGTGACAACGTCACGCAGCTATCTAGTAATAATAATATACCACACTAAATGACGTGTCACGGCAATTTTTATAATTAGTATTCCGTTACTTCATAATTAGGTAACGATTACTACATTCATGTTCATAGGCAGACATTCGTATGATTGGCTGTTTAAATCAATTTAATTTTACATTATTTATACAGTTTAGAGTACTTTTTAAAAAAAAAGAAACCTACGAAGAATAAACAAAAAAGAAGTATATAGAAAGGTTTATTAGGGTTGTAGGACTCCATTATTAAAAATAATCAAAATTCTTTTTTGTTTTAGAGAAGTTAGCATAATTACGACTTCTTAAAATTAGGTTATCACCGTGCTATCTTCTCTAAAACAAAAAAGAATTTTGATTATTTTTAATAGTGGAGTCCTACAACCCTAATAAACCTTTCTATTTACTTCTTTTTTGTTTATTCTTCGTAGTTTTCTGTTTTTTAAAAAGTACTTTAAACTGTATAAATAATGTAAAATTAAATCGATTTAAACAGTCAATCATACGAATGTCTGCCTATGAACATGAATGTATAATAATTCCCATTACCACATTCTTTGTAAATAGTCGTAGCTTGGTTATTCTAGCTAGATGTATATAAAAGGATCATCGCATGTAAAGCGAAGAGTTGATAGTTTTAAGCTTTCGAGGAGTTAGATAGCTCTTAGATTGTTTTACCTTGACATTTGTAAATTAACATATAATATTCGCTCTCCCAATATAAAAATTACATTCTTTTAATACCCTAATGTTCACGGCTCAAAGTTAAATTGGCAACGAAGTACACAAGTCTCTCCCCAAGCCGTGACATCAGCTATTACTATTTATGACTTTAAATTCATATCCAAAAACAAGATTTCGGATGCAAACTACCTTAACCTTAACCAATACTGATAGCAAGTTTTGTAACAGAATTTTTTACAGTATCTCATAGTAGAATTACAATAATTCTAATATGATAATTTCGGTGCAAGCAAACTTAACCACACCAAAATTGTAAGCAAGCTCTGTAAAAAATTTTTATAGTAACTTATAAAAATTACAATAACTCTAATGCAAACTTATTCAAACTTAACTACATAGAAATCAAGAGAATTCCAATACAAATTAACCTTAATCACAATGTGGTCAGCAGAATAGCGAATAGGCTCCGTAACAGAATTTTTACGTATCATAGTAGAAATCATGAAAATTCTAATGCAAACTCAAATGACCTTAACCACATACTGCAGTCACTGGAATAGCAAGTAAGTTTTATAGACATTATACTGTACCTGAGAAATCCTTCGATCTCTCAAGTTTAATTAGAAACTCTCTAATTCAGATCAAACTTTCACCATTATTGAGCATATGATTATTTTGAAATCAAAACCGTGATCTCTAAAGGGGCGCCGTCGACGCCCCCACTTACACTTGTAACCTATAAAATTTCGCCATGTGGCCAATGTTAAATTTGCAAATACTAAAAATTTGGCTGATATTAGGAAATTTTTGTTTAGATCTAAATTTATGCCGGTCTCTGTCGTACTCACTATTCTAAATTATAAAGCACTCATCGGAACATTCAGAAAAATATTTTATACGTGTAATATTTTCTTTTGAATGGCTTGATACTCATATCTAACATTTTTATAAAATATACAAATAGATATACTGTACATTTTCAAAGGTCAAAATGGGCATAAAGAGTAGGTTTAATATTCAGATATAAGTTTTGGGCAAAAAGAAAAAGGAAATGATGAATCTTGTGAAAAAACAATTGCGGAGCAAATTTATGGTAAGTGATAAATGGACAACATAGTAAAACTTATTCTAATCCTAAATTCTATAACTTATCTAAACATGATTACTTAAAATTTCCTCCCAAACTCAAATCCAATATGACAAAGTTCACTTCAGTCACATAATAGTAATCTGCAAAAAACAATAATAATAATACGGTATTCAGAAACGTTAATATTTTTCTGCGCATTCAATCGGTAATCGTTACAAACTGGAATTAACAGAAAATACGATCTTAGGAAGTGACAAATTACTAGATTCAACTATGACATATATGCTAATTTTATTTGAAATCTCAAATTTAGTACATTGTAGTAATGTTAGTCAGATCTTTGATTCAATAAAAATATTTTTTATCATTTAAGCATATAATTCAATAAGTTGTAAAGATAAAGAAAGGGATAATATTGCCAGAAAGTTAATAGTAAGAAAGTTAACTGAATTTCATGACAAATAAAACTTGAGAAACTTTATAACTTTTTTCATTACATAAAATATGTGAGAAGACTGCTGTATTGTTACAATAGTTGTTTTTTTCTTCGACCATTTGATCTTGAGAGTTTTAACTTAATAAAATCAAGTTTAAATGTTTATTAATCAAATATTATGCTATTATAATACAGATGATCCTTCATTAATACATGCTGTTGGGGAAATGTGCATTAATGGAGGGTTAACTGTATTATTTATTCTTATGCTACTAAAACTAATTGGTTTGATGTAATATAGTTTGGTGCAATATAAAAAATTCAGTTTGAGAAGTATGTGTGCACTCATATGATCACATGCTTTCTTCATTTTAAAATAAGAAAATTTCATGTGCGATCCGCAAATGAGCACTTCGAATTTTTTACTTTAGCGAACAATTTGCCGATTATGTCTGATTTAAAATGAGGTGTTTTTTTTGGTCATACAAAAAGTAATCGCATTTAAAAAAAAAAAATCAAAAAAACGAAATTAGCCATATGCTCGCATTTTTAGGTTCGTTCATTTTCACATCAGAAATTTTAGAAATGTTTTAATCCTAGTATCACGGTGTTTATCAGACCACCGTGTATTCGTTGATCTTTGCTATCAGTCTTTACTCGCTTGGCTAATATACGACGACTGGAGTATTGTACCAGATACTACCACCGATAATAATGTGTCCACACAGATAAGATAGTTTATTAACTAAGAATGACTCTAAGAAATAGCGGGAATCGAAGTTAGGCACTTCCCATTTGGATCGATACCTTATATATTATTACCAATCGTTATATATTACTGCATTGTTCATGCTCACTATTTTAGACTTTTAATTAAATTGGGATTACTTAGATCGATCAACACGTGCTCGTATCACAAGTCACATGGGTACCGCGCAGCACCGCGACACTAGTTATTAAAAAAATAATGATACCTGTGTGAAATGAAATATGCTTGGTTAATCATTCCGCAGCAACCAGGTTCTGGTTTACCAATCTGGGAGGAAATGAAGAAATACTTATTACTTGATTTGGTTCACTATTCTTTCTTCCGTCTTATCCCTGCTTAATAATGGAACTCATCCCTTTTTATCTGGACTCCTACCTCATGATACACTTCATTCTTCTTCTTCACTAAGTAGCTACTCAAAAATAACCCTATTAGATAGATTCTGAAGTTAAATAAGTGTGCTGGCTTAGTCTAATAATTTACTAAGAAAATCTACAGAAAAACGACTAAGAATAATTAATTTTAAAAGACACTGATAGATTTTAAGAATCTAACTTTTTTTATATATATTTAAATCTACTTTTATTATAATTGAAATTATAGCTGGACGAAATTTATTTGAATCTTGTAAAACTAATTTTCCATTCCAGGACAATTTCAAATAAAATTTTGAATTCTTGATTTTTTTTAGATCTAAAGTCAATATTCAAAGAAACGCAAACATGTAATTAAGCTTAATCCTTTTTTTATTAAATTACACTAAGTAAATATAATATGTGGGAAATTCTTTTGTTTATTTATTTTTATCCTTTTCGTCGATCACGTTAATCAATCATAATCATATTTGGTAATATCTCAGATCAGTATTGTTGATTAGGGCCAAATGAAGATTATACGCGTAACTTAAATTTACTCTATTAACTTTTTTTATTTCGTACTAAGGCTTATATCAGTTTAACAGATTTAGTATCGGTTAAAAATGTTCGAATTACTGTGTATCTCTCGAATCTTGTCTAAATAACTCTTTAGCTCCGATTTATTCTCTAAATCGAATTCTCACTCTTATTTACTTGATTTGTTGGATTATTTATTTGGTTCGGTTCGATTTTTTATTTTACAATTCTTAGATAATCTGTTGTTTCTGTTATTGTGCAGTTATTTAAATGATCTAAATAATTCTCTCTTGCCTTAAAATCAATCAAATTTTTCTTGCTATTTAATCAACTCCTTGTGTCTATCTAAACTTGTAATACACAAATATATGGTTTATTTTTTCTCACCACAGCTTAATATATGAGTGAATCGGTATTATCTTAACTTGCTCACCCAAATTATATAGTAACAGTTCTCCGCTTCGCTTCTAAAAATGTTTCCTAAACATAATAATTTAGGCAAAAACCTTTTGCTTTCTTATTGTTTTATTTACTTATTATGTAATTTTGCTGTTTATGGGTATAATGTTATTTATTCGAGCAAAAAAAATGATCTGCAATATAAAAACTTTGACGTAAATTCAAGTTATGAAGGAGCACTTGTAATAAAGATATTTGATGATTATAACAACAATAGTTACAAAGCAATTCATACACTTTTACCAAATGGATCTACCACATATATAGACCTTGATTTTGCGGATAAAAATATCACTATTAATCGTATATTCCCTTTAACTATGAGCCTTTATTTTCTACTTTATGATGATATTGTTAACAACAACAAGCAGGTCACTGGAATGTTAATAGATTGGAATAATTATATTATAAAAGAGTTTGTATCCAATTATGATATTCTTAAAATTTTTATATCATAATTTATTTATAAATACTAATTCATTATTTTGAATTTTTAATAGTAATCTTTTTATAACAAATGGATCCATTACTAATCATCCAAGCTTAGATCTTATTTTAGGCACACGGTTATCTTCATTTTTAATCTATAATCAAATTGAAAATTACATTAATTGGATTTTATATAATTTACAGTAAGTTATTTTCGTGATATTATTCAATTTGAAATACAGCAAGTTTAATTCTGATCGAAAAAAATGGGGTAATTTGTATATTATTTAATTTTAAAATAAATTTTAGACAAGGTGATATTAATTTTGTTGCTACAAATTCCTTTCAACTTTCGATCAATTCGACTCTTCAGTCTGTTTTTTCAATGGTTGATGGAAATTTCGGTTTTGTTACAACAGAAGTATCATCTTATTATTATAGCACGTTAAATACAACTATATCAACAATCTATTTACATTATAGTTTTTTATCACTCTCAACTTTCAGTATTTCTGAAAATTTTTTGCTTTATTCAGCAAAAAATGTTAGCAATTTAGCATTTATTTCTTGTTCATCAAGTTACAGTGAAGATGGAAATACATGCATGATGACATTAGACGAAAATTTTACGAAACAAATTATTACAACATATCAAATTGATTTCTTGTCATCTGGTTCTGTCACAGAATTAAATATACGATATATGAACATTAATTTAGAATCATATTATATTTTACCTTTATTTTATGGTGGATCAATTATAACTAGTTGGTCTACTATAGAAGATTCAAATACATCAAATGTTAAAGGTCCCACAGCTATAGGTAATGAATTTATAGGAAATAAAGATTCTAACGCTGGACTTACTTATACTATTCCTTCTGGTAACGGTCTTTCTAATTTAAGTGGGCATATTATTCCACTTACACGTAATAGTAATGAATATGAATGGGATTTAAATCCGATCCCAACATTTTCAAGAGCTATGTTTGACATAATGAAGAATAATACTTATATATTGTATGTAGTATATAATGATAGTAGTTGGGACATTTTCAGCACGAATGTGGAAAAATTCAGAAATGACTGTAAGTAAATTAAATGATTTATTTACATAAACCAAATATTTTTATTATTCATTAATTTTACGTGCAAATATTTTTAGTTGGTTATGAAAATCCAAATGTTATTTCAACTTATCCAAAAATTAATGATACTATCTCACCACGTATAAGTTCTATAAGTCTAACATTTTCAAGTCAGATCTCTAGATCATCGAATAGACTCTCTATTTATCAAATTAATACAACTACTAACCAATACCAGTTTAGACAATATTATTCTGGAAATTCGGAAAATTGCTCAGTTTTAAATAATACAATTTCATGTAATATTTCACAAAGTATTATTAATCAATGGAATTCTTCTTATGCAATTGTGGTGGACAATAATTTTGTAAAATTTGCCTCATCGGATGAACCTATTTATGGTATTACAGAAAATATATGGACATTTAATACTATTTCTCGTAAGTTAATTTAATTAATAACTTATACGTATGATGAAATAAATTTATAATTACTGTAATGTGCAAACTTTTATTTGTATAGAAACAAATCCAGAGACATATTCAGGTAATACTACAACATTCATTTTATTTATAATTATTGATATATCGAAATACAATGCTTATATTTATTATTTATCAAGGTTCAGCTACAGTTATTGTACGATTAACCCATGAAGGAACTGGAGTGTATGAATCTCTTTCCGATTCCGAAAAATACAAATTTTTAAATAGTTTATTTGATGAACTTATTGAAAGTATTCCTACTACTCCTGGAAGATTATTATTAACAAATCGAATACAATTTGATCCATCAACATCTCCTGCAAAATATTTATTGCAAATAAGAATTCTGGGATCATCTGATCTTTATCAAGCATCCGTACCTCATATAATCAATGATATGGAATCATTGATAATAAATAAAGATACCTCAATAATGTCAATTAACAATCATACAAAGTATTTAGATTCTTCATATGGAGTCAAAATAAATAGTAAGTCATTTAAAATTTATATTAAAATATTTAGATCCATTTTATAAATTTAATCTTATATAATTTTTCAAGTAAATTTCTGGGATGAAATAAAATACAAATTACTTGAAATATCAATTGGATGTATTATTTTAAGTTTGATTGCTCTATGGGCCCGTTATACAAATCCAAAGGTAAAATATGTAAAATACTATTATATTTATTTTATATTGCATGAATTAAATATTAAGTTTCTGATTTCTTATATATAACCTAACATAGGGACAAAGTTTTATGATATTTACCGTGGCATTTATGTTATTTGATTCAGTCATGGATGTTTTATTTATTGTCGAAAATGGAAAAGACGTCCCTTCGTTATATATGCCTAGGTGATTATACATAATTTATTATAAATTAACACATAAATTAATTATTAAAAAATACTAATTCTAAAAACTTTCGTAAATTTAGTATTGTTATATTATGTTTTGCAGTACTAACAAATTTATCTGCTGCAATTCTATTCATAAGCTATGAATTAAAATATAATAAATTATTTGCTAAATGGATTTATAAGTATATAAATATTGTTCCAATATTTGTTATACTTTCAGGATCGAATGTAACGATATTGGAATTTTTAACTTCAAATTTTGGTGGATTTGAATTTTTTAATGCTCCATTTTTGAATTGTACTAGAAATTGGATCTTTTGGGGTTCTATTACTAAAACTATTATAGAGAATATTCCTCAATTTATTATACAGGTTTGTAAATATAAATTTTTTGTAAAAAAGAATAATTTTAATAAATTTATTAAAATTATAAAAAAAATTTTTTATATTGTAGATTTTATACTTTCAAAATACGGTTAAATATGAAGCTATTCCATTTTTAACATTAGTAACCGGATCTATTGTTTTGTTAAATGATCTTATTTTAAAATTATTTAAAATTATTAATAATAGATATTATTTACTTGATGATGGTAGCAAGGAGAATTCAATTAATAAGACTTATTTAAATAATTAATAAAAATACAAATTTTGGTTAAAAAAAAGGTTTTAAAAAACTTTAGATACGAAATATACTAGAAAACAGGTATTGTAAATATTGAATTTAAATTTTAATTGCATTTACATTACTACGTTCCGAAGCAATTGATTTTATTGATTCTCCATGCTAGAAAAGGTAACCAAATTAGTTATCGTTAAATCCCCGAAAAATATTTCCCTTACAGGCCACTTAGGGATGGGTATGGTTACGGTAGGGATGATGATTTTCTGCGGTGGTATTGATTTTTTGAAAATAAATAAATATCACCGCAGAAAATCATCGTCCATGAGTTTAGGTCAGAATAATAATATAACCATTGTGATCGGTTATTAGCCGTAACCGTTACTGACCGGTCAAATAATGACGATGACAGATTCTTTAAAAAAAAACATGATTTTGTTTCATATTACAGCTGCCATCATAAATCTGGAACACCTGATAAAAATTTGCCGGCCAATTCGATAATATCTGAGATTTTGAAATAAACCTGGTTAACACTGGGTATCCTTATTATTATGTCAAGCAAATTCCGGATCTCCGGCCTAAAAATTTTGGGTCGTAGAATATCAAAAATTTCCCATATATTTAGTATATAAAAACGCTCTATAACTAAAATTCCGTGTCAAACCTTTTATTTACAGCAGATTTAAAAATTAGTGGGACACGTGATGAATTTTGTGATGAATTTCTGTAATAGTTTTTGATAATAAAAATTTCGGCCGATACATATTTCGGTATAATTTTGTACCGGTCAAAATTTATATTATCGAAAACAACATTTTTATTACCGAAAAAAAATTACCACAAAATCCATCACGTGTCCCACTAATTTTCAAATCAGCTATAAAGGTTGGAAGTTAGTTGGTACTGTATAGTAAAATTTTGCGAAATCTATGATCGGAAGTGATCTTCAGCCCCAAATGATTTTTTACCAAGTAAATCTCTCCCTACTTCTGTACTTCTAATTAAAGTTGTAGAGGGAGAAATTCTGATTATTATGATGATAAACTGCTAAAATCAGCTCAATATATCATGAGATATGATTTTCGCGATCTTATTTAGGTTAACATCACCCCTCCCCCTCCCCTTTGATGTCCCCCGGTAAAATGTACATATAAAAAAAGTAAAAATTTAAAAAATACCGTAATAACGCGCTGGGGTGTGATTTCGAATTTCGGCCTAAATTAAGCTTAATTCAGGCCGAAATTCGAAATAACTCACGGCAAATATAAAAAAATAATTTAAAATAAAATAAAATAATTTAAAAAATAAAATTAACTCAATTAAAAAATAAAAAAAAAAACAATTTATTAAAAAAAAAACGAAAGCCAAAATTTTAGTTCCTACTTGGCTGTTCTCCCATATATGTTTATTTCAGTTGTAATGAAACGATTCAAAAAAAATCTGCTGAAAAAAGAGCTTCCGAAGTGTTTTTTTATTCGATTGTGATAGAGTTCCAATCCATTATCCATTTATCCATTTATCTATGGATATCCGGATATCAAATGGATAAATGGATAAAATGGATAAATGGATGGATAACTGGATTATCCGATAAGTTATCCGGATGAATGCAAGGAGCAAGTATTAATGCAAGGAGTGCATATTAATTTAACGGTTGATCTAACTGTTGATGTAATAGATATTATATAATATATATAACAGTTAAGGTTCTAACGGTTGATCTAACGGCTGATTTAACGGTTAATTTTATATGTGTTATATAATATAACGGTTAATATAACGGTCGATTTAACAGTTGATATAACGGTTGATCTAACGGTTGATGTAACGGTTGATATAACGGTTGATCTAACGGTTGATCTAACGGTTGATATAACAGTTGATATAATGGTTGATCTAACGGTTGAAATAACGGTTGATTTAATGATATTATAACATAATAACGGTTGATGTAATAAATATTATAAATTAAGATATAACGGTCAATATAATGGACCAACAGTTGATTTAATGGTTGATCTAGCAGCTAAACTAATGGTTGATTATGCAATGGTTAGTATAACAATTAAAAAAATGATTAATATTTGATGTTAGTAATTTGATGACTCAGAATGTAATAAGTTTGATGCTGCCCGAAACTTCTTAGTTTCGGATTGACCGAAACTGGCATTACCAGTTTTGGGCATTGTTCTCCTAGCCAAACTTGCCTAAATTTATTATCCAAAAGTCCGAAACTTCAAAATTATGTCAAAAATTCCGATACTTAATTAACTAATAAGAGTATTCTTAAGCATCAACCTAGATGCGATTTCATAGTGATCGAAATAGTGCAAAGTTTTATGGAGTATTTTTAGCTATTGTAATAATACGAATGTCGATATTATTGAGATATGCTCAAACATTACTGTTATCGTGATTTTTTGACGATTATGTAGTAATGATCATTTGCAATGATGGATCAAAATAAAGATTACTGCGAAGATTCTAAATGAGTGCCGGGAGGAGAAAACCTGTAAATCACTTCATTCATTATCATCGCAACTCCTTAGAGGTAGAATTCACTACGATGACAATGAATGAAATGATTTACAGGTTTTTCTATTCCCGTTACTCAAATGGTGTACCTTGCCAGTCCGTTAATATATCTATTGTTAATAATTTTAATACCGTATGACGATAATGATATAGATTTTGTGTTATATGTCAAAGTGGCAGAAAGATCGTTGATCTTGTAATCTCGTCATTTTTAACCATGACTAACTTAACCTTCCTTTCCCTGATGACAACCCTTTTCTGGCACCGCCCTTCCCAACACCACCCTCCTCCGATACCACCCTTCCTTGATACTATTCTTTCCCGATGACAACTCTTCATTTCCCCAACATCACCTGTCTCCACTACCATCCTTCCCCGATAACTATCCATTCCCAACATCAACTAATACCTAATATTAATGATTAATAAAAAAAATAACATGTTTATGTTATTTAAAAAAAAAAGAATCCAAAAATTTTAAATTAAATAAAATTAAAAAAATTAAAACCGATTTTGAATTAATTTAGAAAATAGTTTGAATTAATATATATACCGTTTTTAAAAAAATCACCAGCCAATCAAATTTTAAGATCATGTAATTTTAACTCAAATTTGAGTTACAAACTTCAAATTATATGTGATCTTAAAATTTTGATTGGCCGGCAAAATTTTTGAATTTTCAATTTAAAGTTTAATTTTTTTCTTATTTAACTTTAAATAATTTATATTTTAGTCTGTTTTTAATTTAACCGGATTTTTTTAAATATAATAATTTATTTATTTTTTTATCAATAAATACGCTGGAAAATAATTATAATATGTTGGTAGTGTGTTGGAAATGCTATAGAGGTAGGTTGTTAGAAGAGCGTTGTTGGGGAAGTACTTGTGTTGGTAATGTCGAAGTTGTGACTGCTAGGTAGGTAGTAGTCGGATAAGTAGTTGTGTTGTGGATGGATGGTTGTTGGGATGGTGAATGGTTGCCGGTGTAACGATTAATTTTTCCTGTGTCTCCTCACTTCCGTATTTGTTTAATTCTTTAAGCCGTCACTCATCTTCCAAAACTGTACTATTATCGTCATGTTAATCTTACCCTAGTAGTATTAGGCATTATTAAGTATTCTTGGTAGCTTATTTCATGCCAGAGCGTTTACGCTCATACGCGCTTGCATAAACTTGTGATCATTGCGCCTTGGGCAAATATGGAATCTACAGCGTAAGCGTTGAGATCCTGATGTTAACCATCTGTAAAATTAGAATGTATATAAGAGTGTGTCTTCATCCTTAGTTGAGGATAAGATTCGCTCTCCAAAATTCCTCAATAAATAAAGGTTATATATATTCACATTCTTTTTTATCATAAATGCCTAATAAATCATGAATATCCGAATAACATATTTATCGCCCAATTCATGTGACTCTTCCGACGTCAACCATCGGAGTTAAATTCGGCATGACAACCAAGCTCTCCCTTACGATGGTTACACCGGGTAAGTAGTTTTTTAGGAAGTTTGTTGGTGAAACGGCAAAAAGTTTGCCGAAAATATGATTTTTCAAAAATAATTTAGTCACCCATGTATAGTACTTGTGGAATAACGCATGTTGTTAACCACATGAGTTAAACGGCATATTAAAGCATAGAGCTCTCCAAGTAAACAGTAACAATATCGTATTTGAAATGAAAATTGACAAAAAAAATTTTTTACAAAAAGTCAATTATCTTTCGAATTATCGACCAGAATCACGTGATTTTGGCACCATTCGATAACGACCCTAGCATCACCATAAAAAAATGGTAGCCGGACAAAATTTGCCGGGTTACACATAATTTCGGATGCATTAAATAACTTGGAAAAATGAATAGAGCGATTTTTTTTTTCTACGAATTTATTCTTTGTTTATTGTATAAGCCTATATTGGATACAGAATT